TTACCCGGCCTTGGTGGCAGTCCATCTATCAAAGGGTCACTATGGAGTCCATCGTGGGGGCTTCGATGAGGCTAATATCAGGGCCTTTGTCTCGGGCCTTATGGCTGGCAAGGTAAACCATGTAATGATCCTATATGTAGCAATAGCAACAGCAGGTCACCCTTGACCCGCTGCCCAAGAATCTCCCTAAGCTTCACAGCGTCACTGCTTGGGATGGTAAGGATGCTGAGCCAGAGCCCGAAGAAGATATGGTAGGATCTTCAACGACTGTGAAGCGGGAAGAGAGCTTTCCTTCCTCAGGAGCTCTAAGCACACTATTCATCGATATTGCTGGATAGTCGATCGGTGTGATCTCTCATACTTTTCGTTTTTTCTCGAGCTGTCGTAGTCGTGTTTAATTTAGTGTGAAACGGGAAAACATCATGGCATCTTCCAAAAATGGATGAGTTTGTGGGCGGAATATCACGATATTTTCTGATGGTTGGAAACCCTGTAGGGAGAGAGTTGAATGTAGTGCCCCATTCCTAAGATTTTAAAAGATGAAAAGCGAAACCTCGTGACTCACGAGTCGTGAGCCAATGTGCATCGATGCGAGTTACTAAGCCGTGTTGTCGGCATTGGACTTTAAACCCACACACATACACTCCTAACAATCGAAGCGGAAAAAGAAGAATCTTTGGTTAAAGTTCTTTTTTTCGCTTAGATGCCTCAACAAGGAGAAAGTGTATGCCATCATGGCATTGCCATGTCATCAGACAATCGTATTAATATGTATCGGGATAATGCTTACTTAAGAATTCGTTTGCACATAATTATCACCACCTATGCTACGGCGAGGTTGGGAACATACTCCAATGATAGAGAAATGCATGCTCAGCTTAGGTGTGTTGGAGAATTCATTTCATATACGTACAAGCTCGGGAGACGGACATGTAGCTTCTCGCTCAACATTGGGAGTGATTGCTTTGATATATTTGGATTGATACATAGAAACCACGAAGTATCTCCGCGCCTCTTGTACGATTCCGAATTGGCCAGCTGGTCAGGGAACGCAAATCGATCATGATGGCAAAACTAGAAAATCAATAGCAGATGGGGTGACGCTGCATGAATCATGAAAGCTGTCCACAATCCGCAATCACAACTATCTTAGCAGTCGCTCCACTGGAAGATCCAACACTTTCCATTTTCCTCACTACGTCCATACCATCGATAACCTTGATAACAATGACACATCATAGCACACTCGAAGGGAGGATGACTTACCTTCCCAAAAACCACGTGTTTACCGTCGAGCCAGGATGTCTTTTCAGTGCAGATAAAGAATTGACTGCCGTTGGTATTAGGTCCAGAGTTAGCCATAGACAAGATACCAGGACCGGTGTGCTTCAACTGGAAGTTCTCGTCCTTGAACTTTGCACCATAGATGGACTCACCGCCAGTCCCGTTACCTGCGAAAATATTCTGGAGGAACTGGAAGATGGTCAGAGAACTTCCAGGATGCGGGTACCCTTACCGTTGGTGAAGTCGCCTCCTTGACACATGAACTTCGGAATGATACGATGGAAGCTGCTGCCTTTGAAGTGAAGAGGCTTCCCTGACTTGCCGACTCCCTTCTCGCCAGTACAGAGGCAGCGAAAGTTCTCAGCTGTGATGGGGACAACATCCGCGGCTAACTCGAAGGTCACACGGCCAACTGGTGAACCACCAATGGTGATGTCGAAGAAAACCGTAGGGTTGGGCATTCTGATGGGATACGATAAGACCGTGTCACTGCGCCACGTACGAGGTGAGGTAGCGATCAACCAGGAAAGTTAGTAAAGTGAACTATTACATCTATCGTATATCACGTACTGATTGGAGTATTGAGGCAATGCAGCAATCTCGTCCTGTGCGATTACACCGGCCAGGCGGCAATCCGCCCTGGCGGTTTCAACCCCGTGGCCGTTTCTCAGATCTTCACAAGATAGCAAGTGGGAACGCGGTAGCAGTCTATCCTTGTGGCGCTGGAGACCGCTTCTCATCTCTGGGTCAGCCTGCTGCATGTAGGAAACCCGACCCACACTGTGAACGGCTATGTGTCGACTCCCCCATTCTAAAGGCTTTGCGGTTCGGGTTTACTGCACCAAGCCATCGGAAGGGCCCCTCCATTGCAGGCAACCTCTCTTTCGGCAAACATGACATCGATCGCTCCGCTGGCACGCATAGGTTAAGCGCCCAACGCTTGCACACGTGCCCCCGGTTGCGGGACTATTAAACAGATTATCGGTTTATGATGTTGATAGTAGCTCTATTATAGTTAGTATCACTATCATTTCCTAATGGTTAACTCCCTAGACAACGACGCTCTTGAGTTAGCACTGGGAAGACTCGACCTTGAGCCAAGTGACACCGCAGCTTCCCTGAGGGTCCTGTGTTCTTCACGCGCGCAATATCGTGACCCCGGTTGTGACACGTGCACGATCAGCCACGCTCATTGCTCCCTTTCCCATGAGGCGTTAATTGCTAAGTCTTTTCGGCGTCGTTACCGGCTATGACCCTACATTTTTCTGTGTAGCCTCTCATTTCCCATCTTCTGATGCCCAACTCACACAACCAATTAGAGACCTCATCATCAAGGGGCGGAGGGGTTGAGTTGCCACCAGTTATTCCGGGGTTTGGGTCAGCCGACGCTACACTGTGTTTGAAGTCTCCCTCGCAAATGATCGTTCTTTGGTTAAGCCTGGATATAAAAGTTTTCGAGGAGTGACAGCGGAGAGAGGGGATCACGGCAGAGTGAGCCCGGAGTATTGCAGTTTACGTGAATACACCTTTAACATCAGTAATGCGCGGTTTTTGGGATCCAGTGCAAAAGAGGGGCAGATAACAAGAAAGAAACAGCAGCGAGTCGGCGGTTCGGTGGCATCCATGGTACTTTGATGGCACGAATCCAATTTAAACCGTTTAAGATTGTGCCTTAAAACGTGGATAGGCCTTTTCACGCATACACAAAGACAACCCCCACAATGCCGAAATCTGAGGTATCTCCTGCAGCTGGGCTCCATACTTCTCTAGGGCACATCACTTGGAGTATCCCTGTGTGAGCACAATCTTCTTCCTTCTTACATAGCGTAGGGAGTTGGAAATGTTCCATTCTTTTCCTTTTAATTGTAATTAGATCGTGTCCCCAAGGGACAGTCTC